GTTTGTGAAAGAAAGTCCTAATCTTGTTCTTTCTACATTAATCCAACAAAATAACAGAAGTCAAAGAATACAGATTATCCAGACAATAGATCAGCTCTAGAGTGCTTAGTGGGAATTCTGTGTTGTATGCAGGGTGTCCTATTCACATCAAATATACAGAGTGTTTTAGGATATTTAAAAGAGCAATTCTTTTGCCTTTCTGCATAATGTATACTGATTATATGTTTTTATACCACTTCATCTTATAAGAAATGTAGACTAAAATTAGATGCATTTGTCTTTACACTGGCTTTATAAAGCAGAATTTTCATTCATCCATGCTCACTTTAAAAACAGTGCTAATTTACATCAGCATTAAGTGAGGAGACAATCATTGCCTGTAGCTTTTATTTCTTAAACACTTTCTTAAATTGCATCTCAAGCTGGCCAGACATATAGGATGTTTTCTTTCACAAAGATGACCAAAGTGGGCAGCGATGCCCTCTTAGAAAGCCATGGAGAATGTGCTTATTAATGAAGCTGCCGGCAGAGGAATCCTAGTGCTAACACGGATGTGGTTGGCTCAGATGAGCAGTCTGGTTCATACACTTTGCTGAAGTTTGAACATGAGTTAAGAAAGGTTAAAATGGTAATTCATTACTGGTTCCCCAGTTACTGAAATCTCCCAATCTCCTTAACTTCTGTAGAAAAACACTCTTTAAATGAATGATCTAGTATTATATAATCTCAGCAAATACCTTAGAAAATAGCCATGATAGGTACAGATTTTTCTTGTGCTAACTGTACACAATACAGCTTGTTTAGGAAAAGCATCTCCCACTTTTGCTTACCCCATTATCACCTAGGATGTCTAACTGCTTTATGAGGTCTGGGATGCTGACATCCTGCAAAGACAGAATAAAATAAAGGCATGGCACAGTTAATCACAGCTGCAATATGTGTCCCTCCTATGACCAACACTGAGATCAACCATCGATATTTTGTATTATCTCATTCAAATGTGCCATAAACTGGATTCCATCTGCCTTTGAGACAGATTTTATGATTATGTTAAAAAATAGAAGTCCAATTCAATTGCTCAAGCATCTCACATGCTTTCCTTAGAGTAAGTTTAAATGCTTAAAATTTAGTGGAATTACTGGGAGAGAATAATGTAACAAGTTACGTGGGCAGCATATATCACTGTTGTGCTAAGTGCTGTATTACTAAAGTAGCCTACCTTAACTCCCTCCTTCATGCAGTAGATCTGCAGAGCACTCACACCATTTGAGAATGGGTGGATCTGGAGATTAAATGGTGGTGACCGTCTCTCTCTTTCCTTAAAGTAAATTGAAAAGAAGTCATTGTGTTAAAATGAATGAAATATGTAGAGAGCTCATTAAGTTTCATGGCTACTGTTTTTTATCATGCTTTGCAAATATAAGTTCTTGTTGAAAAAAAAATCAAAAACACACACATAAAACAATGACATCATCATTAAATATAATTGGAGAAATCGAAGAGAAAGACTCTCTGAACAGTGTACCAAGTGGGATTGGATGCTAAAAGCAAATCGGTTGTTTTGCAGACATTTATTTATTTGATGGATGATGTCTATTTGCAAATTGTCTGTGGGAAGCCTATCATCTGCTTAAGACTTTCATGTCATTTAAAGTGATTTTCCTAATAAAGTTATGAACAGTTATATATTTTTGCAAAAACTCTCTTTAGAAACAGATATTTAAGACTTAAGACTCTAGGATACTCAGACCTGCACATTTGCTCATCCTGGTAAGTCATATGTTCTAACATCTGTGGAAAAAATACATTCAAAAATAAACAAACTTGATCATATTTGCTAATTTTATAGTCTTCACTAGATACAAACTAAAAAGTATTTGTCCAGCTTTCATAGACCAATGGCAAGAATGAAAAAAATATTGTTATTGCCTACAGCAGTGCTAAACTAGCAGAGCCAGGCTGAAGTTAATCGGTTAAGCTGTGCAAACTGGGCACCTGACTCAGCGAGAGGTGAACCAGTCAAACACGGAGTTTACTATTCCCAAGATGCTAGAGCTGACATACTTCCACTGCCCATCTCTAATTAGATATACCAGGCCTGATTGGTTTGTCTGTTATATTACTAAAATGTTGATGTAAACACTTCATCAAAGTTGGTGTCCCACACAAGTGCACCATTTCAACCTGCTCCCAACGCTACTGTAAGGAGTCATCTGTCACCTCCAGCTCAAGGTTGCGGAACTCCAGCAGCTCATTCTGGTCTCGGGCATCCTGGAGCTCCTGTTGCAAACGGCTGTTGTCTGCTTCCAGTTTCTCTATCTAATAGAAACACATAAATTCATTATCTGTGTGACTGTTAGTAAGAAAATTGAATATACAGCAAGTAGCAGTTCAGGGAGCATAGGCACTGCAAAATCCAAACTCTAGATATGATTCAATACTTGCAGTGTTACCTCAATGAGTCTTTAGTTTACAGATAAGACTTTGCTCATGAACTTGCTAGACATCATAAAATGCTTTGGCTGGAGGTTTTCGTAAAGGAACCCAATCGTAGTGAGGGCTGGCACTTTAACTATTTAGGTTAATTTATGTTAGCTATTAAACACTGTTCTCTTGGTAATGCACTGGAAGAGTTTGTCCGGGGAGGTGTTGTGAAGACATTATTGTTGGAGGACTCCGTGAGCTGGCTGAATAAACACATCTATCACACAATACACATCTATCAGAATGTGTATTCAGACAGAGAAACAGCTAGTGCCACCCAGCAGAAGGGCCTGGCTTGGTCAGAGATTCCCTGTGTGCAGCACATTAATTTCTGTGTGGATGTGGGGACAACTCTTCCTATCACTACCTCTCTGGAGACAGTTCCCCAAGCAGCCATTCACTGCTTGGGATGAGCTTCTCTCCTTGGAAGGAGAGAAGCACAGGCTAAGAAACCTTGCTTGTACAGGTGAAAGAGGGAAAGACACTGGGTTATGGGTATTGGCCTCCATTGCTGAGAGCAGTAATATGGCTGGCCACTGTTGGGGATATGCCGAGAAGGCTGAAGTCCTTCTTAATCTTATTTTCCATGCTTAAAATATATAAATATGCAAAATATGTACACACATATTAGCACACATCTATATATAAAGAAGGGATGTTCCCAGATGCATCATGTGACTGAGGAGTTTAAGTTTCACTGAAGCTATAGATGACATAAGCCGTTAAAAATACATAGAAAAATGCATAAACTTGGAGTCTGAAAGGGTTATGGTATTACAGGGTGCGTGTGTTTTCCTACTGCTGTTCCACACCCAGAAGTAGAGTTCAAAATGTCCTGTCTGGGTAGCAACAGCAGAGACATTGGTTTGATGTTACTTGGAGGCAACAGTCTGCACCCTGAAGCCAGAATGTTGCAGCAGAGCTTCCACCTGCCAGGATAGGCAATTATCAGCAGGGCTAGGTGAATCAGCCTAAGAAATGTTAGAAACCACAGCACCTAACCCAGAGCTAGGGAGAACATGCCTAACCTTAACCATCCATAAGCACCTGACCACATGTCCAGAAAGTGTATTGCATGATCCAGACTACCCTTCAAAGTGAACATCTACAAGTTTTGAATTTACCTTGTCTAAAAGCTCTTGATTCCTCTTAATGAAAAGCTGTTTGTCTTCCACCCAGTGCGAGTCCTGTTGGATGAAGCAGTACTATTACCAAATAGGGAAACTTCATCTGGTTTGGCATGTTTATTGTAACATGGAGTTGTGATATGCAGACTTTAAAATTCTATAGCAACAAAGTATGAGTTACATAAAAACAATGTATTAATCAAATGAGCGGCAGGAAGGCTTCTGAACTCATTAGACATACCTATTTACTTAAGAGTAACCCTGCATTCTGAGAAGTCTGCACTGAAATTGTGATAGGGATATTGTGAGCAAAGTAGGTAAAATCCAATATAGCAAAAGAAAATACACAAGTAGTGCTCACCTGTCCCTTCTGTGCCAAAGTTTTCTCTAGATCTTCTATTTTGGCTTTGTATCTCTGGACTTCAGCTTGGAGCTGCTCCTGAGCCTATTGAAGTCAGGCACAGGATAGAGCAGTAAGAAAAAAAGAAATACAGGGGATGTACAAAGGAAACCAAACACAGCAAAGAGTCTAGTGAACACTCTCACTGAATGAGTAACCAATACGAAGATCCTGGCTGGTCATTTGACACTTCACAGACTGGTAAAATGATGACATAAGGGGACAGAATGGAAAATCCATACATGCGCACACACAGAAACAAACACATCCCACCAACTTTATTATTATGTGTCACATTAAAGTAGCAAAACCCAAGCTCAGATGTCCAGAGCAATAGGTTCTGCTCGAAGAACTTAACAAGAAGCTATTTTTTTTGTGAAAGACTAGACTTCATTTACATTTACAAACCCCTGTATTCCTGAGCAGAAGATGGGAAGGCTCTTTTGCTTTTGTGCCAAACTGCAGAATTGTGTGCTCCAGCATGCTTGCTCAAATGCAAAATTTTCAACCTCAACTCCAGAACAACACCTCTGTGTCCATCCTTAATACTAAGTCTCTTTAAATGTGCTTAGCAAATCAGTGAAATAGATGTGTCCCTGTTGTATGGATAATTAACACCATTTCCTTTTAGGTCACTTTCAGGAGTCTGTATATACCAGTAGCCATGAAATGCTTTTCCCCACCACAAGCAAATACTGACCTTGGCTTCTCTTTCAGCATCTATAATGCCTCCTGTCTGCTCCTGCAGCAGTGCATAAGCTCTCTGCAGGGCCTGGTATTCCTTTGTCAGCTGTCGAAAACGCAGCTCTGATTCTTCCGCTGCTAAGCTCTGAGGGAACAGAAAGGGCACATCTAAGCAGATGCCAGAGCTTTGCCAAGGAATACAACTATGGTTTGTTAAAAGCAGTAGTTGGTTTACAGATCTTGACTCAAAACTGTCTTCTAAATTAGATTGCTGTAATATGAAGTAATAAGAATGTAAAATTTATAGCATATATATCTTCGAGCTCAAAGAAGTATGTTAGTTTTTTTTTTTTTTTGAGGGAGAGAGAAAATCACCTCAAACCGCAACAAAGTCACACGGGTATGCTCTACATGCTATATTTTGAAAGAACTTCCCACCTAGCATGTTAGCGTATCAACAACCAAAACTGCGGCCAAACTTACAGAAAAAACATTACTCAGAATGCACCAATGAAACCCAAGCGCCTTTGGGAGCTTGGCCACTGGTGTGGAATTCAGTGTCCTGAAAACCTCTCTCTAAGTTTGGAAGGAGTCAGATCTTACCTCATCCAAATCATCGTCCGGGGTTGCTGGTGTTCTATCTGTTCTGTATGAGGCCATGGAAGATGTTTCAGAGTCCATGGAATCATCATCATACCCAAAAACTGCATCTACCACATGTCTCTAAAGAAGAAAACACATAGTTTCTTTTGGGGGAAAAAGTAAACTTCAAAACTGTATTGCTACATACTAAAAAAAAAAGGAAAAAAAAAAAAAAAGATGTGATCTGCGTCTGGAATGACCTCAAAGACCAGATCTGGTACTGAGGGAAAACACGACATTGCAGGCACTGCATCTTAAATGCTCATTGATCAGTTTGTCTCCATAACTATTCATATGTCGACTATTGATTGCTCAGATCTGTACTCGGAAACTGAAGCCTGCAGGTCAAGCAGCTCCATCTTGGCAATACATGTCTCTTAGTTTTCATCTGATGGGTTGATTCAATTACTTAGATTGGAGATAGTGAGGCATCAGACATGCAACCAAACTGTAGTGTAGCCAGTTGCTTTCAACATGTGGCAGTTAACATAATATTGTTTCCATTCCTTTGTACTAGCTTTGTGTTATCACAGCTTTTACTGACTTACACCAAGTAACAGAAGAATCATGGAGGGAACGGCTGAGATATTCAGCAACATGAGCAGTGTCCATAACAGAACGAGGTTCTCTGTTTTCCAACTTGGTCGTTTCTAGTCCTTTAGGACATTACTTTTTGAAGATCAGTCTAGCTGTTGACAGATGTCTTCTGAACAGTTTGGGGGTAAACAACCTGTTTTCCTGCCTTCACGGAATGGCAGAGACTTTTCCTTAGCATGTTCCTACTCCCATTATATTTTCCAAGTTTCAGACTGAGCCAGACCCTCAGCTCAGAAAAACTAATCTGCAAAATTCCCCTGCCTACAGCAATGTTTTTCACTTCCACTCCTGTCATACTACAATATTCTAAACCTGGATTTTAAATCATACAAAAAAATCTGAAGTTGCCAAACTTTCAGATTTATTAGCTTTTTTATTATCTTCTTTTTAGCTATATCTTCCCTACTAGTACAGTTTCTGTCTTAGAATTAAAGTTAAATGGTGGAAATACCCTTTAGTCCTTGGCTCCCGGTTTTGTATGTTTGTATGTTGTGTATTGCTTCAAAACTCATGTAGGAATGATGTGAGGATACAACTAGGACTCACTGGTCCTAACTTCTCTGTGTTTACGGTAGCACTGCATTTCTTCCACGGAACATGCGTGGCCTACCAAAGGATGTCTTTGGAGGACAAAGACCAAACAAACTCTGTTTCCTTCACAATCTCTCTGCTCTCTGGAGATAAGATCTGGTTGTTGTAAAACTTCTCCCTAAGTCCTACTGATAAAAGTGCTATTTGAATCACTGTGCGCTATTCAGCTTTAAAATTGTTCTAGATCCAAGTTTAGGATAATATAAGTGGCAGCTAAGATCTATGAAACTGAGCTGAAGGGAATCGCACTCAAGTTTTCACGCCAAAAAAAATCCACTTGGAGAAAAAAGTTTTAGTATGAATGTTTTAGTATGAATTGCAGGATTAGCTCAGATGTACTATGAAAATCAGAGAACAGAAGACAGTTAGGAAATTCTCTAGGAATGTGAATACATCTCAGTGTAATAGGCCTCAAGACTAATATTTACACAAAACAGACTGAAAATCTAACTTTTCAGAGAGGGAGAAAAAAAGCCTCATTTTGTTGAAAATAAAATAGCTATGCACCCTTAACTGAGTATCCAAGAGGACCTAAAAAGTTTTCCTGAAGAATCTAACACATTTATAAACACCATTACTAAATAAGCTTGTTAAAATCCACAACAATCTCTTCAATTAGATTTTCTTCTTAGTAGAGAAGAAAGACTCAGTTAGAGTCTTTTTGTTCTTACCTTAATTGGCTTTGAACTCCTTTTATGCTTTCTGCGACGAATGAGCTTTTCCCTATCCTGGAAAATAAGATTTAAAAAATTACTGGAATTCAAGTTCATGTTTCTCTTCTTTGCCATGCAGCCACGGAAAGCCACAGCCTCCAAATCCAGAGACAAAGTCAGTCCCTGGGCTTCTGCTGACTCTTTGTATATTCAAACAGAAGCTGACTCCAGGGAAGGGAAGACTCATTCACATACGTGTATCTGCAACAGTGGAAAACCACTTAAAGAAGGGAAGAGGGGATATCTGAAAAGAAACTCCTCTTGTACCGTTGCCCTGTTCGACAGGCTGTCAAACAACAGGAACTGATCTAGCCCCTGCTCAGACCACAGAGAGGCCTGTTGTAGGGAGCTGGTTTGGGCCCTGTATCTGAGGCACAGGGCCTCCAAGTCACTAGATGGTATTAGTGAAGGTTTCACCACTTCTAGAAATGGTGTCTTAGGAGAGGCAAGAGCCTCTTTTGATGTGTCCTTCTCCTTCCCCTCAATACCATAGTGCAAAGTCACCTGAAACGGGGTGGCCAATATTTAAAGCTATCACTGAAATGCTAGCAGCCACTATCTAGCAGCTGCTCTGTTCCAGCACATGCTGGATATCGCTCTCTGTCCTGCATCTCTCTTTACAAGGGGACTTCCCAACTGTAGTGTAGTTACAACAGTAAAACAGCTCAGCCAAGCTCTGTGGTCACCAGTCTGTGATTTCTTCTACAACCGACCAAGGAAATTTAAAGACAGTTGAAATTACACACAACGAGACTGATGCTTTAGGGCTGTTGGGCTGTTGCCCCCATTAGAAATTCAGGTATTAGTTAACCATTTATGAAATCAATACAAGCAGCATCCATATGCTTCTACACCTAAAAGTTTGTGGGTGTTAAACATGAGGTGAGATATTAGCCCTCAGACCTCTGTTTATAGTAAAAAATACTAACAGAGGTGAACCATACACAGGAACTGGTCCTAATTCCTGGTGCTCTGGACATACCCTTGTTAATTCATCAATTATGTTCTGCTGTTCTATAACTTGAAGCTTCAAAAACTCAGTTTCTTGTTCTTCATTAGCCTGATCCAGGTCATTCAGAGATTTTAATTTCTTTAAAGGAGGATGTGATGTCATTTTTTCTCTCTGTGGTAAAAAGAAAGAAACAGAAAAAATAAGAACCAGCAATTACTAAAAGAGAAAAAAAAGAGACAAACATGCACTTAGAAATCAGGCGTTCTTTCTCATTTAAGCTGTGTAACTCTTTAAAGATGCTTCAGCTACCAAATTTCCATAGCTTTATTAATACCTATTATCCACCTCACAGCAAGGCCTAGTTCTTCGGGCAGACTGTCAAAGCTTTTTTTACTTACTATATGCAACACAGCCTTTGCAGCAGCCCTTTAAGGTAATGCAACAGAGCTCTTCTGGCACAATGCACCCAGACATGCCCCACGCAGCGCACGTGCTCGCACACCGGCATGTCCACCCATGTAAAAGGGCCTCCCAGCAGTGTCCACGCGCGACCCTGCGCGCCCGCTCATTTCGTCGCACAGCCCCACGTAGCAAGGGAAGCCGCGCGCTAGCCGTGCAAAGGACACGCAGCCCCAGGCACAGGAAGGGGGGGCACAGCCCCTTGCAGCTCGCTAAGAGCACCTCTGCAGGGACATGCAGCGTCAGGGGGTTAAGTCAGCACTGCTGCGTGCGCATGCACCAGTGCTGCTGTCTAATGCACAGGGACTTCAAACGTCTCCCATTTGCTGGGGGAGAGCCCAGTGGGTTGTGAGCTGCACTGCTGCAGCTGTGGAAAAAGAACCATGATTTGCGACATTTTTGGTAAAGTTTATCTGTCTTCTGGGCATGAGCGAGTTAGGTAGCAATAAAGTCAATTAACCTTGTAATACTAAGGCCTTTCTTCCATATAACAACAAAGAGAATCTGATAGTCTCAATCTAGTCAGTTGGAGAACTGCATCCATGCTGCCAGAGTCAGCCTGCTCAAGACAAGGACATGGGTCTTGGAGCCAAAATGTAACACACAAGCACACTCAGCAGAGAAAGTCTCAGCACCCGCCAGCTTATATCCGGCAACTCAGGACAGTATTAAAGACTGTGGTTATGCATTCACTTAAATATATTGCATGGGGTATGCATGCACGGCATGAACGCTTTCTCTATGTACTTACATGCGTACACTGTGCAGATATACCCAGCAAGAAAAACATACATCATGCAGTCATCCTCATTTCAATACCAATCCTTCAATACCAACCATTTCTATATTTTCTTTAGTGACCGCTTTGAGTTTATCTTCCATGCGCTGCAAAGACTGCATCAGCTCATCATTTCTTTTTGTGAGGCACTTGTTCTTTTCCAGGAGAGGTTTACATTGTTTTTCAGCTTCTCGGACACGCTTCAGCTGGATTGATGACAGTAATTAATAATTGTAAACAATTCAAAAAAGGTACTTTTCTTCCTTTGTTAGAAGTTTTGGGACGGAATTTTTTTTACCTTTCCTGTTACCACTGTCCCAGTAAAATGCCAAAGACAGTGGCAAGTGGAACTGGCAAGCAATCATAGTAACGCCTTGTCCTACTATAGACTTACTTCACCAGTAAATCTCAAGGCATAACTCTGCATATCTGTTTCTGAAAGAGGGTGTTACCTATGGGAAAACTGAGAGGTAGAGATAAAGCAATCCAAAAGCACAGTCAGGCAGCAGCAAAGCTGCTACAAAAAACTAATTCTAGAGAGAAAAATTATTCTCAGCCTTCTGAGCTCCTAGCGCAATGGGTAGGAAAGGCATTTCCATCACGGACTGCATCATCCCTGGAGCTTCTCCTTTTGCCTTTCCCCAAGGCTCCCAACCTCCTCTGTCTGACAGTGCAAAGCTCACACACCAGTTCATTTCGTTCATCAACGAGCAGCGTGTTCCTATCCTCCAGCTTCCGGATGGTGGCGTTCAGCTCCGCTATCCTCTTCTGGTTTCTGCGCAAGTCCTGCTCATTGTAACAATACAGCACAGTTACTGCTTCTTTTCAAAATGCATGTCTGGGAAAAAATGAAAACAAAAATTCCCCAAACCACACACCAATCACCTGAAGTTGCCATCATCATCAAATAATATTTCTGGATTTTTACAGGATTGAGCATTTTGGTTTCCCATGCTTCCTTTGGGAAGAAAAGCATCTCCTTTGCAGGATATTTTAAGATTAAAATTTTTCAATACTTAAGAAAGGTAAAATCAATGAAACAGATGTTTGTATTTTTTTCTGATGGTAGGGGGAATAAAAAGCTAAAAAGATCTAATTTTTAATGCTTTTCCCTATCCTTTGGTTCTATTTTCTGAGCCACTATGAAAACAGTATGTCAAGGCAAGAGTCAGGATATCCCTGTAAATACAGTTGTATTTATCTTGTTGTTTCTGATGTTAACAGTTGTATTTATCTTGTTGTTTCTG